GCCAAAATTGGCTCTTTGAGCTTTTGGCTAGTGGTAACCCATCCACGTTTATACCAAACTTTAAATTATTTATATTAGTTAATTCATTTTTATGTTTATGTAAAATTGGATAAACCATTTGTTCGATCCCAAAATGTACATAAGAACCATTATTCATTTGTATAATAGTATGTTTAGAAGGAGTTTTCATTAAAGTTCGTCCATCTTTAGGAACATTTAAGCCTTCGGTTCGTAAAATATTTAACAAAGAGTTAAGACAGTTATGAGTAACATTAAATTGTATGTTCCAAGCACGTAATTTATCACAAATGTGAGTTTCTACAGTATTTGAGGTATTAGAAAAATTATTATTTGAAGTATTATTTTTAGCATCATTTACACTACTAAAAATTGGAATATTTTGATCAATTAAAATATTTGGCTCCGTTGGTAAATTAAATATTGTATCATTTACAACATGACTATCATTTGTATTAAATACTTGTAGACATTGAGATGGACTTTGTTCAAAATTTGATGTTGAAATAAGGTTCATCATATTTGTTTTTACTTCTTTTTTTAGTAATTTTTTGAAATGACGGTCAGTAACTTTTCCCAAATCTTTTTTTTTACGCTGAAAATATGATGTTAAAATTATTTTATTTATTTTTTATTAGTATATGTCTTGGTGTTTAGACAATCAACTAGCAATTAGCAATTATTTACTTATAATATTAACATTTTTTTTACTATCCAATTATCAAAATATGTAGTTTTGTGCATTAAAAAATTTAAAATAATAAAAAAAATATCTATTGATGCTTGTTTCAAATTAATTTTATTAGGTAATGATAAAGTAAATAGTTATGTACTTCAATATAAAAATCATAATAAAAAAAAAACTTGTACATAGTAATCTGGCCTTACAGAATTGTATATAAATAAAAAAAAACATTACAACTGGGAATAGTTAAAATATTTTACTATTTTGATCTAGAAAATCTTGTGTTAGCATGGCGTAACCAGTCAGCCACTATTTTTTCGAATTCCGAATCAGTGTAGGTATTGGAATAATGTTCTTTAATAACATCTTTAAAAACACAAAAATAAAATCTATTAAAAACTAGTAAAATATTATAACTTTTAAAGACAATATTGTATAACAATAAAGAATAAACCTAATTTAAACCATTATAATTTATTACTTTTAATTGAATTCATTAAACCAGAATCTCCTATTCTGGTATCAATATTTTTGCCACGACCAGTCCAGGAACATTTTATCGCATATTGGTTTGTGATGAGTTTTGACAAAACTCTAATGACATTGTTTTTAAAATTGGTCCCACCGATTGTTTTTATAAAACTTTTCTATAAAAATATTATATACTATACATTTTTAATTTTAACTAGATATTTATACTATTTGTTAATAGCTATACATTATACACAATACATGAATGTACATATATAAATACCTACCAATTTTTGAGTATATTCTATTTCGTTTATTATATGATCCTCTACTAATTTGTAACCATCACCATTTTTAATATGAAATTGTGCAATAAATTCTGGATCCAAATACATATCTCCTCCAGTAGAGTTTACTTTTTGATTGGTTTCCATTATTTCAATTTTTGCCAATAGACGTTTTAACATAAAATTATTTTCAATGATTCCTTGATTTAGTTTTTCTAGTATATCTGTATGTTGAGGGTCCATACATGTTTTAGACTACAAATGTTTAAATAAAATAAATGTTTCTATTTTATTATTATGCCCTATCTCAAATCTGATTATATAAACATTTATTTCAAAACCATTATCTACTAAAGACTTAAGGTCTATAATAAATGCATGCAAATAGGTACTGTTGAACGCAAGGAGGTTTTTTCATTCCATGATAAATTCCAATAGGTAAAACCAGATTACTCAATACTTAAAAATTAATTATCGAAACAAGAATCGGCCATACCTGACTTTTAGAACTTTTAGCAAGAGGTAAGCCATCTATATTAATACCCAGTTTTAAGGGGATTGTAACTACTTATATATATATACGATTTATATGCATTTTTTTTGTACCTTTGTGGGTAATAGATAAAATACAAATATTACTTTGGTTAAAATATATTAATTTTCAAATATAAATTTAAATATTTTATTGGTTAATTGTTAATATACCATATTATGTTAAGCCTACCACATTTGTTTTGTATGTGCAACTGTGCAAGTAGTCAACACTTGTATTATATGCTTATAACTTAAACATAAATAGGTAATAATAAAAGTAGTTACATTCACCCCCCTCCCCACAAAAAATCTAGCAAATCAGTATAATACACATAAATTATACATAAATTTAAATGGGGTAAAAATAACTAGTCAAAATTGTACATTTTATAAGATTGGGTCATTATTTTTTTTCATATTAGTTTTTATTAGAAATACCTATTATATTGCAGTTGAACACTTAAAATTACTATAAATTATTTATTAAGTATTATTTATTAGGTACTGAACTTAATCAGTAAATTAATTACTATTTTAATAATTAATATTGTAATTACCATTTGCTTGTCAGAGGCTTGTGAATCAGTGGTTTCTAGTAGACTATTATTTAGTACATATGGATATGGCATGTCATACTGATTAAAGCCATAATCTTCCACGGTCTCTGGAACTTCCAGGATACTATTAGTTTTAATACTTGGTATCTGACTGGAATTCTTTGGAATTATAAAAAAAATAAAAATTATACAAAATAAAGTATGGTTTAGGTATTGAGTTAAGGTTTGATATTATGTATTTATAATTTTGAATGATTAAGATAAAATTAAGTTAAACTTAATTAAATCATAGTAGGTATAAAAAATACTGTAAACCCTAAATTAAAATATAGAAACTGAGAGAAACCATGTGATTATTATATCTTGAACCAACTTAAAAAATTATGTGAATATATAGCTTTTATAATTTTCCATTTGCTGATTGGAATTAGCAGTAGATAATATTTTGTGTGTATTCTTCTCTACACCCTTCAGCTCCAATATATTATATACTAAAAAAAATAAAATTGTTAGTTTTTTTAAACCGTCATTACAAATATTTTCATGTTATATACCCCATACCCCATAATATATATATAATATATATACTTTACCTTCTTCTTCAGATTCAGAAGAATTTGAGTCCTTATTAAAATGAGATTTTTGAGCATGGCTACATGGCTTTTTATTTTTTAATTCATCGACTTCGTTCGCAGATGAGTCTGAGCTCAAAACAAATTTGTAATGCCATGCTTTCTTGAAATTAGCTATAATTGAGATTTGTAATGATTATTTTTATTAGTATTGTGTTATTATTATAATTATTGTATATTTTATGACTTGGAGCTGTGTAAATTATATGGATAACAGTTATACTTACTAAATTCTTTACCATTATTTGCCAACCGAATCTTATAGCTTGGCCAATCAATCTGAGGTTCACTTGCTATATTAATGATGTCACTAGTAACAGTAGTCGGTGGTGGTGGCCATTTACAATAAATAATAGTCCGGCCATCTGGACTTGATGTCCTAATCAACCAATTTGTTGGTACAACACTGAACTCATTTGTATCCGTAAAACTCCCTATAACCCATCTTTTGGTTTTTGGAACCTAAATTGTATTAAAATATTAGAATAAATAATGCATTTTTTTATTAGGCTTCAAGATAATAAACTAATTATTTTACTTATTTTAGGACATTAGCATTTAGCAATATATAACTGAATAGGTAAAAAATATGTAAATAGGTACTAATTTACTTACAGTAGGTACCTACTACAGTACACCTACTAGCACGCGTTAATAAAAGCACACCACCAAGTAATAATTTTTAATAGCATCCTATTTAGTATTTTATATAAATTAATGTAACTTACCGTTCTACTAGTAGATTGGATATCCATCATGTATTACGTAGGTAATAAATCGGTAATAAAGCAAAAATATTAAAATATAATAAATACACGGCAACAGTGTAATGTGAGCAATCACAAAAAGGCAATGCAAAAATGTTATGTGTGGTGACTGGTGTGTGGGTATTTACATAGTGTCTTAGCGAGCCGCGCAGCAGTCACGTCGGGTGGGATATGTTGACAATAAAAAGTTAAAAAATATATATAAAAATAGCACTATATTTGTCTATTTTTATAAATATAATTATAATTGGAAATTTTGTTATTATAATATATTTATAATTATTATTAAGAGGACGCCACAACCGCATGTGTTGTCTCCGTCTTACAAACGCTTAACATACCAAATTTACGCTCAGCAGTTCACGTTTTATGCCGTTAGCTTAAAAATTAGAGTGAATCGACCTATAATGAAACTTTATGTTAAGAACTTTACCTATGTTTTGTTGGAAGTTTTTTTACAATAATTCAGTTTTTAAGTGAGTTATGAGCATTTTTAATTTACATTTATTTTACAAGCATACCTCGCTTAAAAACTGAATTGTCGTAAAAAAACTTCCAACAAAACACAGATAAAGTTCTTATCATCAAGTTTCATTATAGGTCGATTCACTCTAATTTTTAAGCTAAAGGCATAAAACTTGAACTGCTGAGCGTAAATTTGGTATTTTACTCGTTTGTAAGACTGCGACAACACATGCGGTTGTGGCGTCCTCTTTATTGAAAATATAAATCGTTTTCCATACATTACTACGCTGTTTCTGCGATGTTACAGATACTTGTTTAAGAGATGTTGAAACATATTTTTACGTCAACGTTTCTGGGATGTTTATATACAAACTTAAAATATTGGTAAAACTAAACCGTTTAATATGATGTCTTGGTAACGTTGAGGTGCGATGTTGGCATTGCAACTTAAATTAGACATCGCTACAACGTTCTGTAACCTAAAATGCACAGTGGGTTAATATTATTTTTAAATTATCAGTGATGATGGAAAAATATTAAACATAATTATAAAAAATTGAGCTGTTTTGGAAACGAATTACAACTAAATGATAAACGATCAATAAAATATAAATATAAATTGATAAATGATTATTCTTTGTGTTAGTATGCAATCTTAGCCAAATTTAAACTTAAAATGTCTGTTAAAAATATAACTGTATTCATACATTTTTTTAGATTTAGTTGTTGAAAAAACTGCTTAAGTGGTACCTTATAAGGCCTTATATAAATAGGGCCCTATAAATAACCTTATAAAAAAAAATTGTGCCCATGTATTTTTATATTTTTCAACTACTATTGTAACAAGTTATCAAGAGTCCTGTATTAAATTTTCATGCTTTTTGATAAAATCAATTTAATTGACATTTTTACCAAAAAAAAAGGAAAATGGAAATGATCGTCAACAGCCTAAAACGAGTTAGAATATTTTGAAAGTCTTATCAAGTATTTGAATTTATGAAATAAACATTTGGTGTACATTTCAAGTGTCTGCAATTATTCGTTTTTGAATTACAACCAAATAAGAAAATCGATACTAGAGAAATCGAGGGAATATCCAATGTTGTAAACATTTCAACTTCAAACGTTCATAAAAATTGAATTTGACTTTCCGGTAGAAATTTTTTTTTTTGATAAAGATAGACTAACTTGTAAGAAATCTTGTATTAAATTTTTAAATCTTAGATATAAATAGAAAATTTTTAATGAATTTCTAACTAAATATAATTTGCTAATTTTCATGATTTTTAAGAATTTTGTCCAAATTCTAAGTTTAAACGCTCATAAAAAATTATTGTGGATATACAACGTTCAACTTTTTTTAAAATTTCCATTAACAACAAATGACGAAGGACCTTGTATAACAATTTCAAGATTTTCATAATAGGGAAAATTTTTTTATCGGTTTAAAAAAAAACCAAATAATAATCGAAAATTTCATTTGCCTATAAAAATAGTTCAACACAAATCAAAATATTTTGAAAATGTTATGGTGTTTAGAAAATGCTTACACAAATATTCAGTGAAAATTGCATCTATCTACGGTCGTGCTATATTTGAATCCATCCAATGATATAATATTATGAGTATCAGAGTATCATTGTGTACGAAAACTGATTCTGAGCGGAAACTGTCTATCAGCATGTATTAATAAGTATATTTTATGATACTATTGTTACTATAATAATAACAAAATAACTAATTATTAAAATAATTAAAATATTTGGATTTTATAACAATGTTAGGTTCAAGAATAATAAGACCAGAAAAATTACTAAAATTTAAAAAAATAGATAGTACTATAATCGTGAATCAAACCGATTTATAATCTATGTTATCTATGGTTGGCCATGTGTTGTTGTTGTTATGAGGGGACTTGCCGACTAACAGTGAAGCTACAAACCACAGAAAATTTAAAAAAAAGGGAATTTCTCGGTATGTGGCAGCACGTTTAAAATTCAGAAATGTCGGACGGTTTTTCGATGAGCCTTAAGATTCCCTTCTGTTTGTTCTGTGNAAAAATAAAATTGTTAGTTTTTTTAAACCGTCATTACAAATATTTTCATGTTATATACCCCATACCCCATAATATATATATAATATATATACTTTACCTTCTTCTTCAGATTCAGAAGAATTTGAGTCCTTATTAAAATGAGATTTTTGAGCATGGCTACATGGCTTTTTATTTTTTAATTCATCGACTTCGTTCGCAGATGAGTCTGAGCTCAAAACAAATTTGTAATGCCATGCTTTCTTGAAATTAGCTATAATTGAGATTTGTAATGATTATTTTTATTAGTATTGTGTTATTATTATAATTATTGTATATTTTATGACTTGGAGCTGTGTAAATTATATGGATAACAGTTATACTTACTAAATTCTTTACCATTATTTGCCAACCGAATCTTATAGCTTGGCCAATCAATCTGAGGTTCACTTGCTATATTAATGATGTCACTAGTAACAGTAGTCGGTGGTGGTGGCCATTTACAATAAATAATAGTCCGGCCATCTGGACTTGATGTCCTAATCAACCAATTTGTTGGTACAACACTGAACTCATTTGTATCCGTAAAACTCCCTATAACCCATCTTTTGGTTTTTGGAACCTAAATTGTATTAAAATATTAGAATAAATAATGCATTTTTTTATTAGGCTTCAAGATAATAAACTAATTATTTTACTTATTTTAGGACATTAGCATTTAGCAATATATAACTGAATAGGTAAAAAATATGTAAATAGGTACTAATTTACTTACAGTAGGTACCTACTACAGTACACCTACTAGCACGCGTTAATAAAAGCACACCACCAAGTAATAATTTTTAATAGCATCCTATTTAGTATTTTATATAAATTAATGTAACTTACCGTTCTACTAGTAGATTGGATATCCATCATGTATTACGTAGGTAATAAATCGGTAATAAAGCAAAAATATTAAAATATAATAAATACACGGCAACAGTGTAATGTGAGCAATCACAAAAAGGCAATGCAAAAATGTTATGTGTGGTGACTGGTGTGTGGGTATTTACATAGTGTCTTAGCGAGCCGCGCAGCAGTCACGTCGGGTGGGATATGTTGACAATAAAAAGTTAAAAAATATATATAAAAATAGCACTATATTTGTCTATTTTTATAAATATAATTATAATTGGAAATTTTGTTATTATAATATATTTATAATTATTATTAAGAGGACGCCACAACCGCATGTGTTGTCTCCGTCTTACAAACGCTTAACATACCAAATTTACGCTCAGCAGTTCACGTTTTATGCCGTTAGCTTAAAAATTAGAGTGAATCGACCTATAATGAAACTTTATGTTAAGAACTTTACCTATGTTTTGTTGGAAGTTTTTTTACAATAATTCAGTTTTTAAGTGAGTTATGAGCATTTTTAATTTACATTTATTTTACAAGCATACCTCGCTTAAAAACTGAATTGTCGTAAAAAAACTTCCAACAAAACACAGATAAAGTTCTTATCATCAAGTTTCATTATAGGTCGATTCACTCTAATTTTTAAGCTAAAGGCATAAAACTTGAACTGCTGAGCGTAAATTTGGTATGTTACTCGTTTGTAAGACTGCGACAACACATGCGGGTGTGGCGTCCTCTTTATTGAAAATATAAATCGTTTTCCATACATTACTACGCTGTTTCTGCGATGTTACAGATACTTGTTTAAGAGATGTTGAAACATATTTTTACGTCAACGTTTCTGGGATGTTTATATACAAACTTAAAATATTGGTAAAACTAAACCGTTTAATATGATGTCTTGGTAACGTTGAGGTGCGATGTTGGCATTGCAACTTAAATTAGACATCGCTACAACGTTCTGTAACCTAAAATGCACAGTGGGTAAATGTTGGTCTGCAGGGAACGTTTCATCGCAATGTTACATTGGAACCTAAAATGTACATAACTCATGTTTTTGTGGAACATTACAGAAATATTCAGGGAATGTACTATTCGTATGTTAATATTGGAACTTAAAATGTATATTCCTGAAATGTTTGTAACAGTTTCTTGCACGGTGGGTAGGATAGCCGATAGGTATTAGCGCGTAGGAATTACGGCCCGTTTAGGTAGGTTACTCGCCGATCGAAGTTCGATACCCGCATACGGGTTTATTTTTTTGTATTTTTTCCAATTATTAGTAATGTTTCAAAGGTATGTTGTACAGAGGTTTCAATAAAACGTTCTAACTATGTTTACAATGAAACACAAATATAACTCTTTATAACAAACACTATATTGCAGTTGCAGGTATGTTAGAAATCAACAGATCTATAATGTTGATGATTAGGTTGCAAACACCGGACATTAGCAGTATCAGGGACATCACATAAACGCAAATTCAACATGCAAATTGATGTTGCATATGTTATATGGAAACATACCTTGTATGTTTATAGTACACATTATTGCACAGTGGGTAGTACTAACCTCCTTATAGCAATTTCCATTGGTTTCCTGTAGATCTAGTTCATTTGTCACATTTTTGTCGGTTGAATATGTAACTTGTGTTTCTGGGGTTATATTCAATGGATCAATATCGCTAGTGTTGTATAATATACCATCAATTTCAATTGGAATGTCTAAAATGTTTAAGTTTGATAACGAAATATCGGAATTTGATAGCGTATTCTCGATTAGTTGTTCCACTGGTTCTGTATTACATTCAATCATTCCTATTCTTTCATCACACATATTTAAAAGTTGTTCTAAATAATTTGGCTTTTTTTCCAAATTATTTTTACCCATGTTTGCTTCTAATAAATAGAGTAAAGTTTTTTTTGTGGTGATAAAATCAGACTTTGTCGGTACCCAAGATGAAGATGATACTGGTTGTTCATTGCTATTTAAGCTATCGTGTTCACTATTATTACTGCAGACCTCTTTAAAACGATTAGAAATGCATTTGTTGTAATTTACGGCATCAGGATTGAATGGGTATAGACCACAAACACGAAAACCATTTATAATAGATTCAATAGTAATATTATCGAATGCTTTTTTAAATAGTGTTCCGAAATTAGATTTAGTTATAATTTTCGCGTGTCTATTAAAGCGTTCTTCATCATTATCTTTTTTATTTTCACGAACAACATTTTTCCAAAATGATTTTAATGGCTTGAATATTGATACATCACATGGTTGAAGAATGTGTGTGGCATTTGGTGGTAGACAAAAAATGTGTATTTCTTTTTTAACACAATACTCAGATAGTTCTAGACTAAGGTGACTTTTATGCCCGTCAAGAAAAAGTAACACAGGAAATTTAACTTGTCTATGAACCAGATTATGATAGAGAGAATTAGCAATATATTCGAAAAATGCAGGTGAAACCATCCTACCGCTATCAGAACGACCTATGACATAGTTTTCGGGTAATGTACTTGCAATTAGTTTTGGTATCCTTTTATAGGGGAACATTATCATTGGTGGAAATTTATAGCCATCTGCGGAAAAAGTGCATAATACTGTTATACATTCTTTTTCTGAACCTCCACATATTTCGTAAAAATCTGGCATTTTTTTAGGACAGAGAAGTTTACCACTAACAGGACATGTTTGCATGCCTGTTTCGTCACAATTGAAAATTCTAGCAGGGTCATCAAATATATCCGTACAATTTTGTTCAGTTATAAACTTTTGGACCTCACAAAACCATTCCCTTATCTTTTCTTCGGTGACTGCAGCACGAGCTTTCGATATAATTTCGGTATTTCGTTTGGTTATTTCACTATGTCTTTTCAAAAACAGCTCAAACCATTTAGAGCCAAGACGATTATTTGTAAAGGGATTAGGTCTTTTACATGCATTTAAAACAAGTTGAACAGAATCCTTTACTTCCTCTGGATGAACCGGAAATCCAACTTTAGCAGTGCTAACTATCCAGTTTACTATTCTAGTCTCTTCTTCGCAAGTTAAAACGGTTTTTGGCCCTAATTGACGACTTAAAGGTACTTTTTTATTTATTTTGTTACTCAGGGTACTCTTGGGAATATTATACAATTGAGATGCTTTATTTAAAGACAAATCTTTACTATTCACTGCATTTATAGCTACCAACAAATCATTTTCAGTGTAATTAAATCTGCAATATTTTTTTTTTGCTACTGGATCCATTTTAAACTAACCTCTAGGTATATCTGCCTACAAATTAAAAAAAAGAGACAAAATGTAAAAATGATTATATATATATATATATATATATATTTAATAATATATATATAAATAGCTACCTAATCAAAATTATTAATTACCAATAAATAATTATTCATAAATTATAAATTTTGAGCAGGCGTGTTCATTCATTGGAAAACGTAATCGTAATGATATTCCAATGAATGAACACCCTGTTCAATCACTGGCTAATCATCATATACAATTCTTTGTGCGAACACGCAAAAAAACAGTCAACAAATATTTAAATCATTAATTTGAATGCAAATTTAAACTCTATGGATACAATACTACAAAATGGTATACTATTTCTTACCTTTAGTATTCAATTAACGGTAAATAATTACGTTTATTTGATAACAAGTTTCGATAATCCTTATAAGAAACGTTGATATGTGAAAGTGATAAAAATTGGAGGGAAAAAAAGTAATATCATTATTTCCCAAGGATTATTGCCAAAGTCGGTCGCACAGTGTTGCCATCTTTGAATATTTATTTATATATTTAAATTATCGGTTTATATTAAATCACTATGTACACTTAGTTATAACAAATAATTGCACAAGGTGTTCATTCATTGGTATTGTTCATTCACTAGGTGAAGTTACCCTACTGCTATTTTGTCAAATTATTATCTAAAATAAAAGCTAATGCCTCGTCTGCTGTGTAGGGTGTTATTCCTATCGATAGAGAACTTAAATAAGCTTTTTTTATTTTTGTTGACCTAGTTGGTGTAATTAAAGATTCTTTTAATAACATAGCAGTGTTTCTCTTACCCGATTTTTTCAATTTACTCTGAGCAGCATAAACTATTTCTGGGGACGAATATGATTTTAATAAACCTTTAATTTTTCTATTTTTCGATTTTTCGGTACATTCATCAAATGCCTTAGGTGGTCGGCCAACTGATAAACATGAAGTAGAAGGAACTGAAGGTTGAATATTTGGCATTATAAATTCTGTTTCAAGCCACTGTTTATTATTTTTGTATAAATTACTCAACTTTCTAGCACTTTTAGCCCATAACCTTGTCAAAATTACTGCAAAACTACGAATTTTTTAAATCACAAGTTTTTCATACATACTGTCCCAATGTTCTCCATTATATATTTTATTTTTTAATAAATTTAAAATAAATAGCCTGGATTCAATACTTTGAGGCTTTAAAGGGCCTACATCACGCAAACATTTAAAGAAATCTTCATATGTGTAATTTTTGATTTTTTTCTCTACACTAGAACTAGCTGTAAAAATAAAAATATAAACTACAGCTGCAAATGGCTGCAAATGAAAGTTATACCATTTAATCTATAGGAAGTTGTACTATTAGAGGATATTACTCGTGAATAGTTACTATTAGTTACTTTTAAAAGACCTTCCATTGAAGTTTAATAATGAAGTAAAAATTCAAGTTTACCAATTTGATTTAGTCTATTGAACCTATTAATAAATTAAAAAATATATTAATCATAAAATATTTAACTTACCTTTTGTATCGACTTCCATTGTAAAAAAAAAAATGTCGAAAACACTTAATATTGTACTCACAAAAGTTGCCTGAAATACATGTTGAACGGTCGAACAGGTAATGACATAAAATCAAACTACTCGTGTAATCATATTGTGATTACAGTTCATACTTTTTCGTTAATTATATTGTGTACTATATTTATATTTGATAAGGTGTATACAACAATTATATAATACTCTCAACCTTTCTAAAAATATTTTAAAATAATACTTTTGTCCGCCTAAAATTGCATTTCAGACCACTGTGCTACGTTCCGATACGTTCCGGAAACGAACTCGAGTGTTCAAGATGTTTACGATACGTTAAATCGTTACAACCGTGATACGTATCTATTCTTACCGGGTTCTGATGTCGGTACGTGGCTTACGGTGCGCCCGTTCGACCCATAGAGTAACTATAATATAATAGTTACTCCATGGTTCGACTTTATCATTTATAATTTGGCGGGAAATTGGGTTAATATTATACATTGGTATAATTATATTGTAAAACATATACGTATTAGATTAAATATAGTATAGAACCTCAAAAAGTTATTTGTTATTTGTCAAGAAAGATAAATGAATGAGTTATCTTTTTTTAACGAAGAAGCAATTTTTATTTAACTATGGAACATATAATGGATGAAGATGAAACAATTAACGTTTATGTGAGTAGAACCATTGATTATATATACTAGTATACGAGGTGTGATAAAAAAATACCCGGACTGTGTTAATAATATTTATATCAATTAATATAAAGAAATTCCGATAATATCATTCGATTAAGTAACTTCTAACGAGAATTTGAGCGTTGGTTTGAAATCGATAACAATATTTATTTTTATTTTATGTTATTTATATAAAAACATGCTTCAGTCTTGTGGCGAATTTCGTAATGGAAGGAATAGAAGAACAACGTGTGTGCGTAAAATTTTGTTTTAAATTAGGAAAAAGTTCGAGTGAAACTTTTGAACTTTTGCAGCAAGCTTTTGGAGATAATGTTCTGTCTCGGACAACATGTTTTGAGTGGTTTAAACGGTTTAAGGAAGGTAGAACATCCGTCAAGGATAACGAACGACCTGGTAGACCATCGACCAATAAACAAATGAAACTGTTGCTCGTGTTCGTGAAATTATTCGAAATAATCGTCGATAACTATCAGAGAAATAGCAGAAGACGTCGGAATATCTTATGGTTCGTGTCAAGAAATATTAACAAAAGAATTGGGCATGAGCCAAATCGCAGCCAAATTTGTTCCTCGCCTCTTAACCGATGAACATAAACAAAACCGAAAGACCATCGCTCAAGAACTTTTTGAAAGAACAGAAAGTGACCAAGACTTTTTAAAAAATATTATAACAGGGGATGAAACTTGGATTTACGGGTATGATGTTGAAACCAAGCGTCAATCTTCACAGTGGAAGTCAGCAAATTCTCCTAGACCAAAAAAAGCAAGGCAAGTGAGATCAAACGTGAAAGCGATGTTAATCACATTTTTTGATTTTCGTGGTATAGTTCATCGTGAATGGGTACCTCAAGGACAAACAGTAAATCAGCATTATTATTTAGAAGTCATGAAAAGATTACGAGAAAATGTTAGGAAAAAAGGCCAGACAGTTGGAAAAGTGGTTCCTGGATGTTGCATCACTATAACGCCCCAGCTCACAGCTCATTACTCATTCGTCAGTTCTTAGCAAAAAATCAGACTCCAGTATTTCCACAACCACCATACTCACCCGACCTGGCTCCGTGCGACTTTTTTTTGTTTCCAAAATTAAAATCAATGCTCAAAGGACGTCGTTTTCAAACAATTGATGACATTAACCCTTTGAAGCATGGTGGTATTTATTTTATATCACTTTTAGAAAAAATTATTCTACTCTTGCACGGTGATATAAATTTACTACCACTATAGTATTGTATTCTCTTTGTTGCTATAATTGACTGGTAGATGGCGTAATCGTCAACAAAATTATTTCTTATCGATTAGACAGAAAAACATGTCGATAAATGTTATCACATCTCAATTAACAAAAATCATTCATTATTTAATTATTATCAATAAAACTTTGCGATTTGTTTGTTCTATGTGGTTTATAAAATAGTAAAGAACCTATGCAAACTCAAATAATAAAGACAAGTATCAATTTAACATCAAAAATTTATATATTCTGATGGTATATTATGTATACCACTGTGCATCTATAACCTAGACTGTGTCATTTCTAACATTTTTTGAGGTTTTTTTAGTTTTTACTTTGTTATAAATTCGTTTTTACAGATATTAATATGGCTCGTATTTTAAATGATGATATAGTTAATTGCATATTTGATAGTGATGTAGAAGTTAGTGATTTACCTTCAGATAATGATAGTTATGTGAACGATGAAGATGATGATCCTAATTTTTTACCTTTTACAACTTCTAATATCCTCACTGCAGTTGATTATAGTAGTTATTCGAGTAGCGAATCAGAAGTTGAAGTACCTATTGTATCTAAAGTTAAGAAGAGAAAATATACTAGTAAGAATACAAGTAGTGTAGTCAATACTAATAATTTGAAAAATGTATTACTTCCTACTACCTTTGATCAGCCTTCTGTAATATTATCCACTCAAACTGTTGAGTATCCATTTGTTGAGCCTAAATGGGATAAACAAAATGAAGTTTTTACTTATCCAGTATTCTTATCTGACTCAAATTTATCACCAGATTTACTTTCAATGGAATATAAATCACCTTATAACTTATTTCTACAAATGTTTCCAGATTCTCTTATTGAAGTTATATTATTTCAAACAAATTTATATGCACAACAATCCCAGAAACCATATATACCAGCTACTAAACAGGAACTTAAAACTTTCTTAGGTCTAAATATTTTAATGGGTTTGAAAAGACATCTTATAGAGATTATTGGAGTACAGCACCAGATTTGAATGACTCATATATTTCAAAACAAATGACAGTAAATAGGTTTGGATGGTTTTTAACTAATATTCATTGCAATGATAGCTCGTTAGAATCCAAACGTGGATCACCAAATTTTGATAAATTATATAAACTTAAACCGGTTATTGAAAAATTAGGAGAATGTTTTCAAAAATCCAAAAATTTAACTCAAGACCTTACAATTGATGAATCTATGGTAAAGTTCAAAGGTCGTTCAACTCTAAAACAGTATATACCACAAAAACCAATAAAAAGAGTGTATAAAATATGGATGTTGAACGATAAAACTAAATACACATCAACATTTCAAGTTTACACTGCAAAAGTAGTTGGTTGTGTGGAAAAATTATTAGGAGAAAGAGTGGTAAATGATCTTGTAGCTGGATTAGATGGTAAAAATCATATTTTATATATTGATAACTATTTTACTAGTTATCCTCTTTTTCAAAGTCTAAAAAAAAAAATATATTTGACTGTGGTACAATTAGAAGCAATAGAAAATACCTCCCAGATTTTTTGCCAGATAAAAGTTTAAAAAGGGGTGATTTTGATTATTCTGTTAATAATGATAATATAGCACTATTCAAATGGATGGATTATAAACCAGTTTATTTGATATCTTCCTTACACTCTCCAAATGACACTCATGCAGTAAAAAGAAAATTAAAAGATGGGAGTACTACCATGATTCCTTGTCCAGATGTCCTTATAAGCTATAATAACAATATGAATAATGTAGATGCATTTGACCAGCTGAAAGCAGCTTATGGTATGAATAGAAAATCAAGAAAATGGTGGCATAGGCTGTTTTTTCATTTTATTGTCATGGCTATTGTAAATTCTTTTATACTTCATCAACAACTAAAACTAGAAAAGATTTCACTAAAAGACTTTCGTAGGAGGGTAGTTGATGGCTTGTTAGCTCCAAATCAGCGAAAAAAAAAATCACTCCATCCAAGTATCTCATCATAAACCACATGTAGCACCAGAAGTACGGTTTGAGAGTTCTGCACATCAACCTACTCGTGGTACACTAAGAAGATGTGCACTATGCGGCACAAAAGCAAAACAAAAAAGAACTGAATGGTTGTGTGAGACATGTAACATTCCATTATGTTTGGGGAAAAAAACTGTTTTTCATTGTATCATAAAAAATAAATTGAAAACATAACATGTTACAATACTATTTTATTATTCTATTCTATAAAAAAAAAAAAATACTTATGTATAATAATTTTATTTTATTAAAAAGGTCGTATTTTTTATTTTTATGTTTTTTACTAAGAAGCATTCTAACAAAGGTCACACATATGATCAGCTTTATTTTATTATTAATATTTTTACTATAAACTGTTTATTATTATAAAAAGGAATTTTTGGAAAATTATTTTAATTGATCTTGGCATTATAAGATAATAAAGATTTATATTTAAATTATGAGGAAGGTAATAGTTTTATTTTTATTACCAAACATAATATACATATTGTTATGATATTGAGCGATGGATAATGCATGGTGGTAAGAACGGTATACCACGTCCTGTTTTAAGTACTAAAGTTTTATTTTTTATTTATTTTTTCATTTTTTTCATAATATGGTGTAATTAAATAATTGAAACACAACGTCAAAATTAAAAAAATCAAAAAAAAAAATCCTGTGCTTCAAAGGGTTAAACAAAATACAGTAATCGATCTTAAGGACATTCCAATTAGTGCCTACCAGGAATGTTTTCAAAAGTGGAAAAGAAGATGGCAGCGGTGTATTGCTTCCCAGGGAGATAATTTTGAAGGTGATAATGTGTATTTAGAATAATATTGTCTTAATAAAGTTTTATTTGAAAAATCCGGGTATTTTTTGATCACACCTCGTAGACACATAAATAAACTTCGTAATAATATAGTACTACAGATTGTTGTTTTGTTAATTATTTAGAAATGTAATGATTGCACTGAGGCATGTTTCGGTACAGAAAAACACATTTGTAAGAGTAAGAACCTTCCAAAAAGAAAAACAAATCCAGAAATAAGGAAGCTTTAAAATAAAATAACTTACCAATAGCATTAAATTCAATACATTTTATGGAACGAATGCAGTTTAACTCCTAAGTGATTTTTTGGAATTTTTTAAAATAAATATAAATATATAAATATATATATAATATATATACAAACAAACCTTTCCAAAAAAAAAAAAAATATAAAAACTTAAATTTTTAATATTTTTAATTCAAACACAAGATTTTTGAAAAAATTGAGCATTTTGAAGTTTTTTGACCATAACTTCCAAAATAAATTAAACCGGCTTTTTTTTAAAGTACCATCAAATAAGGCAAGCAAAAATACACATTTTGAAAAAAAAAATTCCAAAAAATCGTTTGGGAGCTAAACTGTATTTATGCCCATTTTATTTAGATCCAAAAATAGATAAACTATTATCTGAGGTTCTTGAATTAACATAACTGCCACAGCCTGTAGGACACTACTTACTTAGTTTAGAAAATCTAATTACATATTTATAATTTATATGGATTAATCTTTAAATTCTCTTAAAAATTTCAATAACCATAATTTGAATAAATGTATGGGTAATTATATAAAAAATGGGGATGAAATGTTAAGTGAATCACCATTCACCGTGTAATTTATTTTAAGACATTTTGATTCTGATTTTATTCTTTTATAGTGTTGATATTGATACATCAAACACTCTCACGCCTTCAACACATACGGCTGCTTACAAAAAACAAAAATTATTCAACCAGATAGAAGGTTAGTTGATTTGTTTGGTATATTATTTTGTACAAGAATGAAATTGACGCCTATAAAGTTAATTTGGTTTTAACTTATTAGACTAGCTTTGTGCTGGTCCCAAAGAGTTTCTTATAAGCTGCATACTTTAAGCTGTATTATATAACACTATGTAAGTGTTATAATATCTTATTTTTATTTTAAAAGCCAGTTGGCGTTATTATTTAGAAGATTAGTAAATATACTAGAAATAGTCAATAATTTTTTAATTTTATCTTATTAAATTACATTTTGCAGCAGTTCAATTTTAAAACTAATTGTTGATAAAAATTCATTGGTACCTTTTATTATTTATGTTATTCAAGATCCAAAAAACATATAAAATAGGGAAATAGAAATTTGCAATACAAAATGGACGGAAGAAAAAACCAAATTGTTGATCTCTCTTTATTGGGATATGGAGGATCAATTTGATAATCCGCATCAGGGTAAATATATTATAAATACATATCTTCTAATTATAAGTATTTGTTAAACGGTTACTATAAGCACTCACCATTTTAACATTTTTGAACTTATTTCATTATTGATACCACAATTTTCTCACTTTTGAAGCTCTTTAACCCTTTCCGTCACCCTGTCCTCTATAGAGGACACTTGATTTCCATAAGCTTTATAGACAAATATGATATGGAACTGTGTTCAGTCATAGTGTACTCTCTAGAGGACAAGTATATATTTCTTATTTGCCCGGTTGCTTCGCCTATTATTATCTTCATTATCTGAATNGTAGCAACCCAATATTAGGATACTAAAAATAATTTATTTAAATATCCTTATCATAAACTGAAGAATTTGATTTATTCTCTGGTACTTACTAGACAATTTGATTTTAATTAATTTAGGGAAAAAATCAAAATATGGTGTCTATTAGCAGAGAAGATGGCAGTTCATAATTACATTATGAAAAACAAGGTAAACAATGTGATGCTAAATGGAGGACATTAAAAACTAGATACAAAGAAAACAAAAAAAAAAGCACTACAGTCAGGCGAAGGAAAAATCACTTGGCCCTACTTCAATTTAATGGACTCTTTTCTAAGTAAAAAAGAGTATATAAACCCACTAGTGAAAAGTCTACTTGGATCTAAGTTGCCAACTCCAACGAAACAACAATCAACTGCAACAATAACTGGTTCTAGCTACAGTGTCTCATTTGTTGAAAAACCATCTACTAGTATATATTTTAATATAAACATATTATTAGTTGATTGAATTAGGTAACTTAATTCTTTTATTTCATTTTACTTAAGAATTTGTTTGAAGATATTTATGAAGATATCAATGAAGAAATTGAAGAGTCTTGTAATTATTTCAATGTTTATTATTAATTTTTATTTGCTCAATATATTATTAAATGATGACCTAATATGACAGATACTCATGAATTAAGTACATCTCATTGTGGAATTAAGGAAAGTGATGATAATATAAAAAGTAAAAAGAAATTGAAGGATAAAAATGTATCCAGCTTACTAAGCTCATTAATTGACCAACGTCAAGAAATGATTGACTTTTTAAAAGGCAAAAGAAGAAGAAAAACAAAGAGAAAAACTACTTGAGTTAAGGTAAAAATAATTTTATTGTATGTTCTTTCTGGTATTTTAAATTATAAATTATTTGTTGCGCTACAGATTGAAAAAAATTGAAGAAGCCGAAGAAAAGACAGCAGAAATTATGCAAAAAAGCAATGAAATTGAGGAAAAGAAAATAGACTTAATGAGGGATTATATAGCTACACTGAGCAAAAATAAATAGGTTTAGGTTTGTTGTAATTGAAGGTACATACATTATTTTTTGTTTTCGTTAAAATGTTACACATTTATAACATTTAAAGAATAAAGTTATCAAAATATTGACATATTGCATCTCTTTTGTTTTTGCAGCATTTTTAATATTATAACATCTGAACATGTGTCTTTGTCATTTGATATTGAATTAGATGTGTAAGCTTCATGACTGCTCCAATCATCTGATGTATCCATACAAATATTATGTAGACATACACATGTTGTAATAAATTTGGCACACTTAGTTTTGTCATAGACATCAAGAAATCTAAAACATATTTTATATTTCATTGTCATTGTAGCAATTATGAATGATTTTAATACATTACCTAAGTCGACGAAATCTCCCAAACAATTTTCCAAAACTTTGTTCTATCACTATCCGACTAGAGCTTAGTTTATAATTGAAGTGCCTTTGTTCTCTAGTTAAATGACCATTATCCCTATATGGTGTCATTAGACAATGCAATAGAGGATATGAACAATCACCAAGGATGTGCATATCTCTAGGAAAGAGATTTAATGAGTTTGAAATAAGTTGTTTACCGACTGGGCTATTTTTAAAAACATGTGCATCGTGTGCAGATCCTGGCCAACCAGAAAATATATTAATGAACTTATATTCTGAATCACAAATGCCCTAGAATGACGATTTATAAGTAATTATTTGTGTTAGTAACTATTTTAAATGCCTTACTTGTAAAAGTTCTGTTGCTACCTGCTTTCGGTTAATGTAGCTATTTCGGTCAAGGGGGGGCATTTTATTTCTCTTTGTCCAAGGTGCCAATATTTTAATATGAGCTCCATCAATGGCACCAACTACTTTTGGAAAAGCATTAGTTCTTAATGATGTAAACCCCTCAATAGTATCATTTAGTTTATTTCCTTTTGCCCAAATAATGAAACGATCAGCATTCTCACATATTTTGTCAACCATGCAGTTGATTATTGTTATAGATGATCCAAGAGAAACATCAAATCGATCACTTATTTGCCTAAATAATAATTTTATTTGTTATTTCATTACACAATTAGTTTTATTTACCACGAAAAAAATTACTAACCTATATGATTCTTGATTAGCAAAATACCATAAACCAATTAATATTTGCTTCTTAGGATCATGTCTACCACATCTTAAAGATATTCCATAACTCGGAATTAATAACTGAAATAGTAACTAAAAAAAGAGAAAACTGAATGTTATTATTGAATTTAATTATAATATATTTTAAATTTGTAATGAGAGACAAATTATATTAAACTTATATTTGAAAAATAGAAATCAATGCTAAGTACAGAAATTCATATAAAATAGGTAATCACTTCAACAGTTTGCCTACTTAGACGAAAGTGGCTTTTAAAATCACAGTCTCTTAATTTGGAGACAACAGATTCAACATATAATGCAGTTTTTAATACTTTTCCAGTAAATGAGGTAGTAGTATATAGAACTTCATCATTATCTAAGCTTTGTGTCTGAGTAAAGAAACTTAGTTTAGTCATTTTGGATCTTTGACTAATTAAATTAGACAATATTCCTAAAATAATGAACATTTAAGTATTAATTATAAGACCTAGTGAATTTTAAAAATAAATATTCATAATCTTAAGTTATGGTACATTGTAAATGAACTGTAACCCAATGTAGCAGCCATTCATTCAATATTAAAGTGTGTTAATTCAATAAATTGTATGGCCCTTATCAAGGCATAATTACACAAAACTCCGTAAGCTTAAAAATTGTACACGAGGCCATCTAAATATTTATAGACCTTATATAGAATGTTTATTTTGTTCTGCAATGTACTATACAGTTCATATCTTTTTTATGTTTATATTTTATATAATTTATTTACATTAACCGTTTGAGGTACCAAATTACCAACTGGCGATCCACTATACATAAACTCTGTGTTCACCAATGTGTCAAACTAGCTATTACTAGAATAATACTTCCCACTAAATGTTTTTAAAATACAACATTGTTGATTCACAGTTGATCCAACACAGAGAGGTGACTCTTGGGTTAGACTGGCCACCGCTGCATAGATTAATAGTATTATAATACATACTAGGACCACACACAGGGTACGGCCACGGGCGCACGCTAAGTTTGAATGTTGAGTACTAACCATTTTTTTTCCTTTTATTGCTGTCATAAATATGGTTAAATTGTTTTTTATTTAGCAGCAATTCAAAAGTAATCAATTCCATTATAAACTTTCAAATTTGAATCCAAAATACAAGTAATTAAATTAATTTCAAAAATTAAAAATGATGTTATCAGTTGAATTATTGATAAAAACCAGAAGAGATATGACAATAATCGGAACGTCTGAACCATTTTATAGGTACTCGTTATTTTCAATGGTTCATTATGTTGGAGAATCTTACTCAAAGGGAAATATTGGAAAATTAGGGCACTACAATGCCCATATTCGAAGATCCGATAGAATGTGGAATGTCCATGATGACCTATTAGATAAAGTTAAAATCTATAAAACCTCAGAAAATATTGAAATCCAGCCACACATATTGTTTTATGTAAAAAATAAAAAAAAGTAAAATAGTATACATCCATAATGTCATATGAAGCAACATTGATAGTTATTTTATAAAAAGAAGTATAAAAGTTTATTTTGTTCATTTCCCATATTGCGACTAGGTTTGATTAAAAGCAAAGATGTCAATATTTAAAGGTTTTATGAAAATATTTTTTTAAATTGTATTTTATGTATTGTTGCTAATACCCTATAGACTATGGCCTATACTATAGCAAATAACCATTGCTGGTTATAAAAGTTTAAGATGTTAAGTAGTAGAGATCTCTGAACTGTAAATCTCACATACAATGTGCTAGTAATATTTGAAGTAAATTCAAAGTTAACTTCGTAACCACTGGTAACTTACAATGATAATAGCATTGAAAGGAAAATTAATGAGCAATTTAAAAAATAAAAAAAACACATAAACAATCTTGAATAAACATAAACAACGTTCAGGCTGAATAGCTTTAAAAATAGCTGAAATAGAAAACATCATGACTAAATATATAAGTATTTAGAATGTGCATAATTAAAAATAATGTTAAACTCATTACATATACAGCTAGTAAACTTTAGAATAATAATCTTATGTAACGTAAAATAATTTCTACAATAAATATAGTGAACATTATTATGAATAATCTCCCATAGAGGTCATGGGCAATGACAGATGTGGCGAAATTGCCATAGGTAACAATTAATTGTTAATAATTGGAAATGATTGAAATAATTAAAACAATGCACCGGTGCTAGGAAATTTTCTATTCTCCGGGATTCCGGAAAAACCAAAATGTAGCAAATTGTGGATACTAATTTAAGCAGATTGATGAAAGGTGTGGTTGCTACGTGAAGATAGCAGTGGTATGTTTGTTTCCAGTCTGTAACAAAAACAAGCTTGTTGCAAATTCTGAAAATGACGTAGCAAAATGTACCACACTATTGAGCATGATTTTAGGTTGTAGTATAAAGTGCCGGTGCCAACTTGACGGACATTTGTATAACGACAAAGATTACGCCGTCGCCGACGAGCCGGTCCGCTTAAAATTAATACAGTCATCGAATTCAAAAGTCCGCCGTACGCTGTTTTAACATTTAAGTTCGCAAATCGCCATTGAATCATTTTATATTTCATATACCTATGTCCTTTATCATACCATGATTATCGTCGTGCATTATCTCGAGATTATTATTATGTTTATTATTATTTTATCATGATAGTATAGGTAGCAACTAACGTATACAGTCAGTGTGACCAAAAAAAATATATTGTTAGCAATACGCACTCATATTTGACTCATTGGTATTTTTAGCTGAAATGGCATGTACTTACCGGCTTTCTATCATATCACTCGTATATAAACAAAACAAATATTGACATTTTTTAATGTATTATTGAAATTGCTTAACATGGATTTTCATAAAAATTTACAAAAGTAGATTGAAATTACTTACACTTTATTTAAGTCACTTTAAAATGTCTTTTATTGTAAGTCACTGGCTAGTCAAATTAGTTATCTTATATTTCTTAACATCAATGTGTAAACAAAACATTACATTTTATTTTATTTTTTCAGTAAGTAGGTACAGAACATGTATGCGGAAGATAGTATTATGTGTTGTCTATTTCCAAATAGCTGTAATATGTTTCCCCGAACACCGCTAATGGCATTTCTGGATACCTATGGTTTATCTTCTAATCCGTGGCAGTCAACATGGTTATCAAACTGTTTATACACGATCATAATCATTATATTTCTCTTGGTAGTTGAGTTAAATAAAATATAAAACCATTTTTAACTAACATTTTTTATGTTTCAGAAATATATAGCCAAATTAATTGTACACAATGAATCTTCCGTAGAAAATTGTATACAAGAACTGTCACTTCAGAAAGAAGTAATAACGAACTGTAATGACAACAACTTCGTTTTCGATAGAAATAATTCCGAAAGCAATGAAGCAACGGCGGTGTCAAGGGTAGGCCAGGGTGAACCCGAACCAGTAGGGTGTCCAGTAATGGATTTGGGAAATAAACCAACTCCGTGTGCATTGGAAGAAGTGAGTAGCAGGTTCTAATTCTAATTTTGTCCTCCCAAAATAAAAATAAAATATACTTTAACGGTTATTAATGATGCAAATTTATAAAAAATAATAAAAATAATTGGATATAATATAAAAAAAGGTGGACAACTGGGTACCACTCTATGCTGTGCAGTAGTTGTAATTTTAATCTCAATTTTATGTAAATTTAATGTCATTTTAATGGAGTGTTAAATTTGAATTCAATGTTAATCATTGCAGACGAAAAATGATTCTGAGGGGAGATGGTGTGACATTCTGGCGGCTATCTTACTAGTACTATCATAAATAATCAAATTTAATATTTCAAAACTGATGAATATCAAATATCATAAAACATTTGAATCAAGGTTTAATAAAATAAAATTACTGTTACATTCCAGTGAATTTTTTAAAAATATCGAAAATTTCTCAAGGCTATAAATAACTTAGTTAAAATACTTAGAAAATTGTACCATATATGGAACATTATAATATACATTTTTTATAAAGAATGTCTACAGTTAGAAGTTTGTGAATTACACCAAAAAATTAAAATCAATTTTGTCAAAAAAGGGTTTTGGGTAAAAATTCACATTTTTTCTTTGTTTTTCCCGCCCTTTAAAAACTACTATATTAAAGTTAAAACTTACCTTTTTATTTTAAGCAAACTTAATTAACATTTCCGTATAAGCCATGAGATATAAGATATGGAATACATCTAATGATTAATAATATAATGTTGTTTTATAATTTAAAAATAGGTCAAAATATTAGTTATATATAAGTTTTTTAATACTTAGTTTCAATTTAGTAATAATTTGATTAACACGTACACATGACAGTTTAATCAGTTGATATTTTGAAAAATAAAAATTATTACACATAATACACCACAGTCAAAATTTAGATCATTCAAATTTATAGAAAAAAAATGCAGTGTCTACACTCTATCGCGCCTCGGACCGAAAAAATCAGTTTTTCTGCGCATCCTCACTCGACAACTTGCCATTTTTGAACATGTTTCGATAGCAGAGTGACGCAGGGGGGTATAGATTCACAGAGTATAGATCTTTAGTAATAGTTTTAATATTAAATTCATGGTATCACGAAATATTTCTACTGAATGACCTTACTTGTACATCGATTTTTTTATTCAATAAAGCATGTTAAGATAATTATTATTTTTAACACTTGTACGCGTGAATAAAATAAATTAAAATGTTCTTGAATTTTGGTCCTCACCATTTTTTATGAAGGATTTTGATTGCTCTATATTTTCTTTATTTATTTGAGACTAGGTTTTTTATACTTCAAAATTCTTTTTTAGGCCGTTTGTCTAATGGCTTAAAGTTAGACGATTAGATCATTTGCATTTTTCAAAAGATTACAACTTTTTACATTATTCTTTTAATTTTACATAATTAATTTCCGAATAAATGCAAGGTAATTCAGCCGAAATAATTCGTATTTTAGATTTAACACTAACACATTATGCTATTAAAGTATTCAAAGAAGTAAAAGACCAACACTATTATTCGTTGGGTAGAACACGATTGCTTAAATTTGTTGATAGGTTAAAAAATACTTTTAAGAAAAATAAATAAACACGATTACGTATGAAAATATATGCTACATTGTACAATTTATTAATTTCACCATTTTCACCATTTACCTAATAAATATCCCATTATCCAACAATTCTATTATTAGACAATAATAACAATATATTTAAAATACATTATTTATATTAGTTATTTGTTTCATATATTAAAATAAATTGTTTATAAATTCTAAAAAAAAATGTTTCATTTAATTACATTTTGCTATTAGTAATATTTATTATTCGACTTATCTATCCGATTTCGTCAAAATGACTTTAAATGTCTTATTTTTTTATTTTTCATAATTTTTAATTCAAACACAGCTTCATGAGAAATAGCTACATATCATATGTGTAGTTTTCTTTGTTTTTATTACAATTTTTCATATTCTGTAAATGACTTATAACTCGGAAATAGAGGATACAAATTGTGATTCGTTATCATACATTGCTTTTTGAACTAAAAATATAATGTCGTTCATTTCGAAATTAGTAATAACAACTTAGATTATTCATTAGTTCTTTTCTAAAAATTTTGATACGTCACTTTGAAATACCATCTTCTGTTATTCTTTTACAATTTTCCTGCAATAATTCATACTTGTATATATTATCACTTTTAGTGTAGTGTACTAAACACTTTTAATGTTGAATAGAGTATAAGACTACTCTTCTAATACAATTTTTTGTCCAAACAATGAAACTAGTTAGGAACTTTCGAAAAGACACTTTTTTTTATAGATATCTTCCCATTATACCCTCAAAAAGATTCAACAATGTCCCAGTCACCGACGCCGTTGGCTTCCATTGAGCAGCTTATGGCCACTAAAAACATGAACAGCCTTCTTGTCTCACCGCCGTTACAATCACAGCCCGAAGTTGACGAAGAGCGATTACGTGTGAAAACAAAATCGACTACTGTCAATATTTTGTTATATTGTTGGTATGGTCATTTAATTTTATATTATAATCATTTGGAGATCAGCAATCTAAGTACAACATATTATTAATTTGTCAACCCAAAATATTAACAGAGACTTTTTGATTAAAAAGTTTTAAAAATATGAGTGCCATAAAACAAGCAACGGAAAAAAATACAGACTTCCATAATAATATTATAAAATGTATAAAATTTTGGACATAGTTATAAGTTATGAATCATAACATATCAATTGTAATGAATAGTTGATATAATTATAAAATATACAACGTCCAAGTGTTGAACATGCCCACAACTACTGATAGTGAATAATGTATTTATACTCGCCGCGCGTTGAGATCATGGCCGGATCGTTTTGCGTCCGTTACTCGCAGCTGGTTTTTGATTTGTTCCACAAACATATGTCCACATTCATACAGTTTGATGAAGTGAGTTCAATTGTTGTGTAAACAGTTACACTACTCTGTTTTCAAGTGAGCCGTTCCGTATATAAAAGTTGGAGCGGTCATGATCTTGAAGTACGGTGAGATACTATAATATGATTATGACCATCAATTACAATCTCTATTATTACATTAAATTGTATCGACGTCGTGATCCATGATAGTATCACAGCGTGTTGTTGATGTTATAGGTACCTAATGAATCTTAATGAATCTGATATGATTAATTTGCAATTTATTTTGTTGATTCATTTTTAATATTTATGTACATATTTATAGTATAATTATTTAAAACATATGAATAAGTAAATAATACATTACTAGGTGCTCAGTGGAACAACTAGTGGTGCATTTGGGGTTGTGTCCCTCAGGGAGTATCCCTATAGTCTCCCGTTTTGTCCGCTTCGGCTCCGACCCGATGCCAGTGGTATAGACGTATCGGTTCCCAATCAACAACATTTTCTTTCCCATTTACACGCTGAGGACTTGCTACGTAAAGAAGAATTTTCTTTGTAAGCATGGTTAAAAATGTTGTTGGCGTTCAAAATAAAAAAATTGTTGACTTTTAAAAATAGTGGTGACCAAAAAGTGTCTGGTTTGAACTGGAAGGAAACTTTTATTACGCATTCCGTTCTGGTAATTGTTCCTTGTTTAAATTGATCAATACAAATACAGTCAAAACTCTTTATAACGAATCTGAAGGGACCAAGAGATTTCTTTCGTTATAGAGAGTTTTCGTAATAGAGAGGGTTTAAAAACAAAATTTTAATTATTTATGTATAATATTATATATCAAACACATCATTATTTTTAGAAATAATGAAAGAATGTAATCGTTCTTAGAAATGTCGGCATTATTGCCGATTATTTTTATAGTTTATATATGTAATAGATACGATAACACTTAAATTGTATTATGAAACATAAAATATTGTTTCGTTATTGAGAGTGACTAATACGTTATAGAGAATGAATTGTCTAATGGGTTATATAGAAAACCAACCATTATTATGTAATGTTTACGTTATATAGAGTTTCATTATAAAGAGTTTTCACTGTATATTGTTAAATCAACCGCAATTTTTGTTGAAAACACGGGTATATTTGATTGAGTGTAATATTTAAAGAAAAAGTATGCTAGAACATAATTTAGAACAAAAAGACAATTTTATATTATTTAAAACATACGATGTAACAAATTTTAATTTTCCTAATTGTAAATAAAATATATATAAAAATGTAAAATATATCATTAAATTAATATACTCAAATTTCAAATTCAAGTCGGCATGAGTTAACCTTAATATATTGACTTGAAACTTTTTGTAGTTCATTTTTTTTATGCATATACAAAAATTAAGTGGGTGATACTAGCAAAAAATGCAAAAAAAATTTTTTTAGTTAAATTAGGCGGGACACCCTACTGTGCATATATACGTGTAGGTATAACGTTTAGTTGTCTTTCTTTTATAGTTGAGTAAAATCCCTTATTACAAAATGTGTGTGGGAAAAAGATAATATTTTCGAAAGTTTAAAATATTGGTTTTAAAAAAAATCTGTAAATATTTATAGAGCTACACTGTTTTAAGATAATATTAGAAAAATAAACCTCGGGAAAAATCCATTGCATATTGTGTAGAAGTATCCTGCTAAAAAGAAAGCGGCGGTCAAAGCTATAAAACCCGTAGCGTAACATCCTACCACTAATATTATGATCACTCCAGCCACCAAACAGTTGAAAGAGAAAAAATTCTAGTTGTTACTAGCCGTTAAGAAGTATTTGTTCGCTAGCTGGTGACTTTCATCAAGAAGTTTTGAAGGTCATCGCCGTCAACGGTAGAGTCGTCCAGACCAAGGGACACTTCATATTGCCCGTTGTCGAGGTCAAGCCGAAAAAGTTCGTTGTAGTACCTGGAACTTAGGGAAGGAAGCCCAAGGGTACCAAGAATAAGAAGTAAATCCCTCCCGGCTAGGCAAAAAAAAAAAATATATTCAATTAATTTCATAAATTAACGTTATTTTAATAATAAATTATGGACACTAGAATATTATATAAACCCTTCACTGCATTATTTTATTTTACAAACAGTTTTTTTCTATATATTGTACTACACTCTTAGAACCTTTAAAACATAATTTAAAAATCAATGTTTAAAGTAATAAACAGTTATGTTCTAAGTGCAAACTTAAGTAATTATTATGGTGTAGCATATGTACTACATTTGCGCAAGGAGGAGTATGTTTTTCTTATCTACTTATTGTTGTCTATTGTGTCAAAAGCTATTGAAAAGTCCACTTTTTGTTTACTATTGAGGACCCTATCTCCTTTCCTTAGCAGTCATGTATTTTTATCAGAGATAGGTACTTTCAATAACAAATGGTCCAGTCCATGGCATAACTGACCAACCGCCTTTTCTGTCATTTCTTAACATTTTTGAAAGTACTTTTAGCGTATGATACTCTCGGCATCAGTTGCGTTTCATCAATGTTTTTTTTTGCATTATTTTCCATAACTCATAATATAATAATTATAATACAGAAATGTAGGTACTTAGAACAAAAAAAAATAAATTATAATATTATAAAATAATTTTTTATATATTTAAAAGAAACCATTACTCAATTGTAGCAGATGATAATCTAGAACTTATTAAATAGGCATTGAATAGTTTGAATGAAGAATACGAACGTTTTGTTAAAGGCATTATAAACATTATTAAATAATAAATACAGTGGTCGCCGCTTAGTGGACCCACGGTTAATTGACTCATTTGCCTATTAAACTCAAATTTAATAGTCCTAATTTACACAAATACTAACACACAGCAAAAAAAAAATGTCCATTCGACTCATACACCGGTTAATAGGATCCTTTGAAAATTAGATACATAAAAAATATATGTACATACCTACATTGAACAAACGTGTTATAAATGCTATATAAGTCTATACCTGTATTTTGCTTTTATCACGGAGATAAAATAAATTACTTTTTTACGATGAACCAAGCCGTCGTCAATGTCAATTAGTACGACAGGTTTCCTGGGTACATTGATGGTGATGTATAAAACTAAAAATTATAAATAACCATAGGCGGCATTTAATAAATGTAATTCATTTTAAGAAAATTATGTAAATGTAAATGACTAAACAAATGTTAGATACTTAGATGAACTCTTTATTTTATGTTACATAAAAAAAAAAATACAAAAAACTATGTTGCATATCAAAACAAAAACAAAATTATTAATACCTATATTGTAGTATCACTTATTTTTGGTAAAAAATATTAAAAATATTGAAGTGCTTAAAACAAATAAGTAAATTTTTTTAAAAATATAAAACAAACAATAAAATAGATAACTTAGTATAAAATAATAAAATAAAAACAAAACATCCTTAGGTTTAATATAATCACATTTTTCTCCTAAAAATTTTACAATTTAATTTAATTTAATTTGGAGTGAATGATGGACAACAAATCTAACATTTTTTCCTCCATTTGTGTTCGTGTCTCATCATTATCTGCAATTTTAACCATAGCATCAACCATTATTTTATTAGTTTCAGCTATGGTACTCAAGGTACTAGTTATCACTAAAATATTTCAGAGTAATTAATTAATTTAACAATCTAGAAAAATTAATATATTAAATATTCACCTCTATGTGTTGGCTGTTCATGTTTGCCAAATTTGTAAATACATCATGTGCTGTGTTAAATTGAGAGTTAAGTTTAACATCTTTATTAACAAAACAAATTAAATTTATACATTTACATTACATAAATAAATTTATATGAGTAACTCTTGAATAATTCTCAATTACTTGGGTACTTATTTTTTTTTATATATATTTGTGATTGGCTGGTTTTCAGATTGACTACATGAGGCTGCCTCTGTTGGTTTGGGAATAATATGTAATGATGCGTTTGAATCAGGGCTTGGATTTGAAAAATAAATTTTGTTTTACGTTATTTACAATCAAAACGTTATACAAATTTTGAGTTTATCGTTATTCAAAATTTAAACGTTATTCAACTTTTGTGTTTATCGTTATTCAAAATTAAAACGTTATACAATTTTTGCGTTTATCGTTATCATAATTAAAACGTTATACAATTTTTGCGTTTATCGTTATTTAAAATTTAAAAGTATACGACTATGACCTTTTTTTGGGGACATAATTTCCTTATTCTGAGTTTTAAGTAGGTATTGTTTAATTTTATTTATTTAATTAAATGGGTTAAACTAATATAAAGAAAACG